TAAGAGGATGCTATAATTATTAAGCATTAGCATGACTTGCGTGTCTACCATTCAGTAATTGACCAAATTCATCATCTCATTTTGACTGAACACTCAGGTTCTAACCTTTGTAACTCTTCACTCTAAACAGAAGGTTCACAACCACATCTGCAGAATGATGTCATGGTTTACAGTCCAGGACATCTTAGCCTTCTTCAATCAGCATTCACCCTTGGACCTAGCTTGACACTCCCCAAATCGTCATATAAGTTTATAATGCTCCCTTAATCTCAGGGCAAAAAGAACCCTTGTTAATAATAGAAACAAATGTTCAGTGTGTTTGAGTTGATGAGGTATAGACTTTTAGCCTATGACAATTAACCATCATAATGTGCCTATATGAATGCCCTGAGCAAACTCTGGAGGAGCTTAGGATAAATTGGATTCTTAATCACACATTAAACAGAAATCAGTTGATAGAGGTTGACATCATTGTCAGTATACTCTTATAAATTGTAAGCAGCTTAGTGTTACCATTTCTATAACAACTGAACTGACACACCACACAAAGGACTTTTGGCCTTCTTAGCAGATGGTCCTCTTTTGGTTTTTGTCTTGAACACTGCATAGTTGAAAATGCACTCAGTTCAGAATAAAATGGTAATTTTTGTGAAAGAGCTGGCTTATTGTTTGATTCAGACAAAGAATCCTTATCTGAGAAGTGACTTGTCATTCTATGTCCAATGTAAGCTATGTAAAGAATGACTTTTCATTAAAGCAAGTTTAGCATATTTTCAATTGTCTTTGGTCAGATGGGGAAGTTTCTGGCTGAAATACTGGAATTGTATATTGTGGTTTATGCAATCCACAAGTTGATTCTATGTGGGAAAGCAAAAATAATAAGAAAAGTGTTTTCCTTTTTTTTTTCATTTTTCTCCCTCTCTCGTCTTCACAGGAAACTGTGCCAGGCAGCAATTTGAGGAAACATTGGGGAAACCTACTCCTTTTATAAGTAAAAGAGTTCCCCAATTATCTGGGAACTTGGTAAGTTTACGTTCTTCTCCAGACCAGATTATGGTCTCAAATTCCTAAACATGACTCCCTCAGGGTTATAAAGCTTTCCATCCAGCCTCTGACATTTTGATGTCAAGTGTTGTATATCAGCTGTTATTAAAACTTCCAAAGCCCTTTTGGCCATCTAACACTGAACTACTGATAAACATTACACTCTTATTTCACATCTCAAACTGTCCTGTATGTTCCTGTTTTGCCAAACTCCCTCCTTGTCAGTACTAACACTATGTTATCCTCCTCCTGTCCAAGAACCTCTACAGCTGGACAAATATCACTGGAGAGATTTTGACATATGTTGGTGCAACCCTGTGCATAAAGCAATTACAACTTCTGGGCTGGGAGTATAGCTCAGTGATAGAACATTTTTCCAGCATGTAAGTGATCTTTAATTGAATCTTTGACACCAGACAAAAAGAAATCTGGTAACTTTCTTGAGCATAACACTTACTATTGGAAATACTACAAAATTCTCAATATTCCTTGTCCCGTATGTGCTTCCTCTTCACTTGTGACATTGGGAGATGAAAGATCTTAGGAATGCAACTCTGATTTGTGTCAGTCTACTCTGCCGCTCAAGGGGACCCATAGGAAGATGGAAAGCATAAATGCAAACCATCTTAAAAGATGCATTTTCTTCTCTCTTGGGCCTAGAAGCAGCCAAGGACACAGGGAAGACCTTGATCTTCCTCGGAGACTTTAATCACCTCCAAGTTTTCACCTACATTAATCAATTTTAGGTAACATGACATCTGCCTTGACTGGAGCTACACATTTCACACAGACATTCTTGAACACAAGAACATTAGTAGTCATAAAATTAGATGGAAAATAAAGCAAGATGATAGAGGAATATTTCCTGAGCTTGTGTGATTTATCCGTGAATTTGTCTTCATTGTTTACCTTTAGATTTTGAGCCTATTTTAATAAACTTGTGATTTCTGTGCAGTTGCAGGGCAACCAAATTGCTGTACATTTATTCAGTGAAATCAGTGTATTTTTCACTGTTCCATTTGATATCATTTCTATGTCCTTTACACTTCCTTTGAGATAATGTTGAGGAACATAGCATAGGGTTTTATATTGTGAAATAGTTATAGTTTCCTTGTGTATCTGTGTATCTCTATTTCTTAGCTCCAAATTTCTGCCAAGATTTATGCCCTTTTCTAGAAATAGAAAGTGGATCTGTAGGAGACAAGTTCCAGTCATTTCTCTTATACCTTTTACAATTTTCTCCAGTAATGGCTCACCTCACATGGTGATCATTAGCTCAGTACACCAAATCATTCCCACAAAAATATTTTTATAACCACCAAAATGCCTGAATTTAGTTAAAATAAGTCTATTTTCATCAAAAATATCTCAGAGAGTTTATGTTTGGAATCAATTTTCCAGTGTCTATTACTACAGATGAACATTGGAGAGATTGTACTTAAGATGGTTTGTTAGAATTTGGGATTATACAATATACAAGTCCACTAATCTTTGCTCTGATGTATAACTCATACATATTTGTTTTCATCTTTCATTTAGTTCTTTCATTTACATAGACAAAATATTTACTTCTTGCTTTAACCCAACAAAATATAAAACACATTTCCCTACTCTTACCCAGCAGAGAGTGAATTATTGTAGATGTTTTCAACACTGTCTTTTCTAGTTCAATGGTTCTCAAATTCATCTGTCATCAGAAACATCTAGAAAGCTTATTGAGACAGACTTCTGGGTTTTATTCCAAGAGTTTCCAATTCTGAGTGGGCCCCCAGAATTTACAATTTGGGAGTGGGAGTTTCTAAGTCTGAGGTGGGCCCCCAGAATTTACAATTTGAACGAATCCCAAGGTAGTGATAATGCTGGGCTAAGGCTCAGTTTGAAAATCATCAGTGTAGTAAGTAATAGAAAAGTTTAACAGGACAATTTTGTGATATTAGATTTGGAATCTAAAAATGTCAGTGCCAATCATGATGAGTTTTATATAACTTAACAATTATGACTGACAAGCATAAATCACATATTATATTTATTTTTCAGTGCTAACTGAATATATAAACTTGTGTCAAGATTTCCTACATCTATGCACACAAATAATATAATGGATATGTCTTTATAATGCTCTTCAAGGTACTCACTCTCTGGTGAAAAATTTGTTCTTAAATGTCTTGTGATCTATTTGAATTTGCCAACATGAGTTTTTTCACTATAAATTTGTGGTTACATGATGATTGAGAAATTATTTTGAAATGATGACCTTCTCTTATTCTAGTTATAAGCTATAATATTCCTGGGCTGGGGATTTAGCTCAGCGGTATAAGCACCTGCCTTGCAAACGTGTGGTCATGTGTTCAATCCCTGGTACTGATTAGAAAAAAAAAAAAAAAAAAACTATATTACTCTTAAGATTATAAGGAGTCTTCAAAGGAAAAAAGATCAAAATCCACTGGGCAATCAGGTATTCTCCCTGTTTTTAAGTTATATACCAGACATTTTTCTCTTGCATGTCTTTCAAATCGCCAGTCTCCCTTTCATTTATCAATTACATTTATTCTTGATGTTTTAGAAAAATTTTATCCAAGCATTCATAGTATTATGCCCAAAAAGTGTGATCATCAAATCTCATGAAATTTCTTCCTCTCCTAACCAAAGAAAAGTAGTATTAGATATTTGAAATATTTCAATCTTTGGTGACACTAACCACTTTCAAATATTTATGCTAGAATGCTTTTCATTCTGCTATCAAATGAATGATGGAGAAATGTTTCTAATGTTAATACTTCTTTGAAATATCATTGATCAAGTTACAAGCCAAGATCCAGATGGAATCATGTTAAAACTCTGGAAACAATAGCACTGCAAAATTATTATATGTCTTATAGTAAGGAATTCTTTTCTGTCTTTGTGTAGGTGACTCTTTAAAATGTGCAGAACCCAGATTAATCAGTCTTTCTTTAGGCAACATCTAAAAGCAGATATTTTACTCGGGAAAATCTGAAAACGTAGAAAAGCATCAGAAAAAAAATATCTGAAAACTCTACACTCAACTATGCATGCACTATTACACAAATATAAATTAAGCTACTTTTCTCCAGAAGTCTGAAGAAAGAAAATTAAAATAAAAGAATATTTCAATATAGAAGGTTGCAGTACTTTAGATTGATTGCCTGTTAGGAGAAAAGAAATGTTTTCTTGAGAGGGCTGTGTAAGGACTTGGCAGCATCTGGTATATTATGTGGAATCTGAATTCACACAGGAAACTTACTTAAGAAAACTAATTGTAAAAACCTCGTGACAGGAGAAAATGAAAATAGCAAGAAAAGTTCCAATGCTGAGTCATACAAATCTCTATAAAGTAACAGAAGTACTGTTTCTTACTTCCTTCTTCCCCATTCTTGTGAGGGTGTTTCAGGAACTTTGAAAAGCTGGGAGGAGGAGAAAAGAATGTTGACAGGGAGCCAGCCAATCACCCGCTTGTCATCAGAAGGCTTTGAACTTTTCATGGAAAGAATATATTTTATTGTACACATAGTTTGGAGTATAGGCAGTGTGATCACCATTTTGATTATTTAAATTATATCACAAATAAAAGTAAGTAACAGGCATTTTATAGCTAGAATAAAAGAAAAAGCATAACCCCTTCTTTGGGTTTTTCAGAGAAATGAGGGGAAACCACTGAGAGGAAAATGGCAAAGCGTCTACCTTTGAATCTCTGTGAAATCTTGCTTTTTCAGTACAGAAATAATGCCTTATATTTCAACATATAAATGTCTTAAAATATGATTACATAATTGTCTTAATAGATTCTACTTTATCAATTTTTTTTGAGACAGTCTGTAATTTAGGCTGGCTTTGAATTCATATGTAGCCCTGACTGCCCTCAAACTCAAGGAAATCTTCCTGCGTTACTGTCTACTGGGATTGCTCTGCCAGCTCTCTTTTAACCACCACTCTCCCCTGAGGGCTACACCTTTCCTGAAGGCAATGTAATACCAAGTCGATGCATGAAGTGCATGGAGCAAATTCCTATTCCATCTCCCATCTCCAGAAATTTACATAATGTATTGTCTCCAGAGAGAACATAGCAGGTGCTAACCTGATAATACATACTACAATTGTTGTTAGCCAAAAGGCTGAGAAACAATTATTATCAACCTTTCTTGATAATTCTTACAACATAGATCTTATTTTCTTTCTCTTCTTTAGTCTAATGTTTATTACTCTGACAGATATGAAATTCTTCCTTATTGCAAAAAATTAGACATTTTATTTAAACCTAGTGGATGACCAATATAGATGCACATATATAAATGGATGAACAAAAAAATCTATTTCCTCCTGTATTCTCTCCAAGAGAAAAATATCACAGAAAAGAAATCGTCTTGCTAATACCTTGTTTTAAAATAAACACTCGGTTATGTTTCCTCATTTTAAATGCTATCAAAAATGTTGAGGTACAGATTCTTTAGGAATATACAGTCAGTGGCCTGCCCTATCTGTGTGATGAGAAGACACAAGCAGTAGCTAAAAGATAGAAACTCAAAATGCAAATGGAGTTTAGATTCACACTATCTAGAGGAAATATTGATGAAAGATACTAGTTTACAGAAGAAGGCAAATGAGAAGTAATGGCCAAAGTAAGGCACAAATAGCTGCCATGAGAATGCAGTTTGAGTAAAGAAAGGGCTAAAAATAATCTTGGATTACTTAGAGTCACAGCACTAAGAGGCACGAGGTAGGAGAGAAGGTGTGAGAATCATGTGCACCGATCATAGCTAGAGTCATTGTGAATCACTTTTCTTTGAAGGTCCCCAATTACACTCCCCTAACAGTGGCACCTTCTGTCTCAGACAGTATAGCTGTGTATGGATAACTGCCTGAAACTCAGGCCTTTCCAAAGAACACTAAGAAGCTCACACCTTTTGTGGGATTTTGGTCATCAGTATGTTTTTGTGAAATGTTTTTAAAACCAAGTTCAGCAGTAAACAACAAAGAAAGGAAGGACTAGAAGGTGAAAATCTCAACTGAGAAGTGGCGGGCATTGCCACTTCTAATTAATAAATGAGAAGGGGAGCAGTTACTGGGCAGTGGTCCTGCCTGGGAACAGCTTCTTCTCTTCCATAGAGCTCCAGCCTTCCCCATGCTCCCAGCAGCTTCCAAATGGAGCTGAAGATTCCCAGTTGCTAATTGCCTAACTCTGGAGTGATTCACTTACAATTTCTAAAGGAAAAAGTGTGGTTAAAAAAATCTTTCAAATCCAAAAAGTCACAGATTACCTTCTAAGATATGTGAATAGATAGTTGTTGTAGCCAATATTGGATGATATCCAAGGGTGTAACTTTTTTCTTTGATTACAAAGACAGTTTTGTGACAATGGCAAACACACATCTTTCTCCATCATTCTAAAAGTCTTCCTGTCTTTCTTGTTCCCACACGTTAAATCAGCAGTGTATGACTTACAATCTGACTTACTTGCATTTTGCGAAGTAGTCAAAAACTTGACTCCATTCATGAGTGACCTTTTTCCTCCCTCTCAGATGCTTATTTGAGCAACATTCAGTTCACTATTATTCCATCTTGAAAGATAAAAATTTGGTGGCCTCAGGAGTGGGAGAACTTAATAACTATTTCAGTAAAGCATTTACCAAGTCATTATTCAAAGCCATCTGAAATAGTTGGCACAGACAAACAATAAATGGCATTACTTTAATAAGTTGGGAGAGAATAAGACTGTCCCATTGTGCCTAGTAATTGCTAAACATTATGTTCTCTCTTGGAATTTAACAATGTAATATTTGTTTCATTCAGCACAGGCCTTGTTTCTTAAAAACAGATCTTCTGATAAATTATGTGAGTAAACTGAAATACACACACACACACACACACACACACACACACACACATATATATATATGTATGTATATATATATATATATATATACACACACACATCTGAAAATTATATAAAAATTAATGCTATTTCTTAGACCTAAAACTCTGACCAATCTGTGAACAGATAACAATGTATTAGAATAATCAGCTTTGGCATATTGATAAGAATATATAAAACCAAAACAGTACAAAAGAACCAAAAAAAAAAAAAAAAGACCCATGAAGCACAGAATAATAAATTGTTCAGAGTTGAGACTTTGGAGTCTAAGGAATCTCTTCTATGAACAAGTAAGTCTCTAAATGCTATAGATTTTTCTTACATGTAACATGGAGAAGATTTAGCAGTATTATCACGTGGAAATGAGAGAATTAAATGAATTGATTTTCAAAATGTTTACTGAAAAATTACAATTAATAAAAGTTCAATGTTAGCTTCAACAATGACCCAACCAGATTAAAATTCTAGTTGGTTTTAGACTGAATATACTAAATCAGACCATATGTTAAGGCAATAGCACAGAGTACTCTGAGATATTTGCCCAATATCAATCTTTATTAGGTCTACATTTTAGACCAAATTACTCTTACATCTAGTTACTTTTCTTCTCGACTGTGTTTTGAGGTGACAGAGAATTTCCATGAGCTTGACAACAATTTTTCCTTGAAGAATTATAAACTAATCACTTCTAGTCCTATAGGACTATATATCTGGCAAACAAAATTTATGCTTCATAAGAAAAAGCTTATACAGAAAGCATTTTCTTTGTTCTGTGAGCATGTATATGTGAGTATGTGTATCTGTTCACATGCTCAAGTGTGTGTGTGTGTGTGTGTGTGTGTGTGTGTGTGTGTGTGTGTGTCTGTGTGTACATGAGACCCAGTGATAAAGCCAAGGGAGGCACAGAAGGAATCATGTTTACTGTTAGTATTTGATGTGTCACTACAGACTGGCAGCATATCTGACAACCAGCAATGATGAAGTACCTAAAATATTTAATGACTCTATACAGTCTCTACAGTTACTTTGTCATCTTAAAAGAAAATACAGAAAACATGGGAGAGGGGTGTTGATTAGCCAAGAAAATTTACAGAGTAAAGCTGCTACTCCCTGGACATCTCTTCTTTTGAGTTTGTAAATTGTAGGATGGATTTGCTTGAATATTTTACATGAGAGATGTAGAATTTAAGCTCATTACACTGAAAACAGGCCATGTTTACGTCACTGCTTGTATTTTTTTTTTTTTTTTTTTTTTTTTGTCTTTTTCATTTTTATCGGTACCGGGGATCGAACTCACGACCGCCTGCGTGCAAGGCAGGTGCTTATGCCGCTGAGCTAAATCCCCAGCCCCACACTGCTTGTATTTTGGATTCGAATCTTAAAAGATTTTTTAATTACCTTGAACAGCAAAGTAAAAAATAAACCAAGATTATTCCCTAACTCTATTATTATTATCATTATTCTGAAACAAATAATTAGTAAGACAGAGGGAACAGACATTGCATTTTTCCCCAGAGGCCTATGGATCTTCTTCCCTTTGGTTGAGATACATTATCGGCTCCATCTCTGAAGAGAAAAATTTGGCAATCTGACTGATAGGCAACTAAGTCATGGACTGGCCTACACCTCATGACTAGGTAAGATGACCGTGGCCTTTGGATTACTTGACGGTAATCCATGTTTTTCCTTTTGCCCGATCCCCATGTCCTGTAAAAATTATTCATCCATTTGTTCTAAGGCCAGACAGTAGAAGGAACACTGATTTCTTTTCTCTTATTTGAACATACAATTAGTGAGTAAAAACAATAAAGACAGCCCTGTCACAGGTCTCTCTCTCTACAGGCATTCCTGAATATGAGTTTAAAAATTTGAGAGAAAAGAATCTCCATTAGGATTTTTGGAACTGGTCTTTATTCTCTTAAATTCACTAGAAAGCCTTGTTCTCATATCACATGGAAGGAGGTATAGTTGGGGCAACATTAGTTTGTAAACTGTTTCTTTAGCCATTATTGAAGAAGTAATATGGTTTCCATTTGTGGTTGTCTTTATTCAGTTTCTAGTCAAAAACATCCTATAAGAGAGAAGGAGTAAATAATAAGATTAGAATAAGATTTACCTTGATCTTTTAAAGAAGATCATAATATCTAGAAAGCTATCCAAAACATGCTACAAATTAATGCTAAACTTTGCAAGGAATCAAATGCAAATATTTTCAGAAATACTATACATAAACATACACACAATTCATGTTAATTAGTAACTGAAATGAATTATAGGTCAATTTAAATAGAAATGCTCCTCTCTTACTCTGGCTCTGGCTCTGGCTCTTCCGCTCTTTCTCTCTCTCTCTTTCTCCCCCTCAGAAACAGAAACCAGTCAAAAAAATTGCACCTTCTAACTGAGACAACAATAAAAAAAATATAACTTCAAAGAAGAATTTTGAAGGAATTGTCAAGACACTCAAACACAAAGATAATATTATAACAATGTCTAAGAATTGTAAAGAACACCTAATTGACAAAGCTTGGGAGACTTTGAGTTATAAATTAGATTAATCATGAAATAAAGCCACTGCATTAACATGCTAAAGGGAAGAAAATAAATTTAGAATTGGCCATAGTTAGAGCAATCATTTGCCACAGAAGTCCTGTAAGGACTGGATTAAAACTTAAAAATTGGTATAATTAACAATTATACCTTAGTCATTCCCAGAGAAGCACTTATGTGAACAAAATATTACATACGTGGTCACCCTATCCACATGGGTTGAAGAAATCTTATCCACTGTGTTTCCAAAATAAAAAGGACTACGGAAATGTGTCAGGTAGTTGGACATGAGCCATTCTCTTTATAACACTACATTTTTTAAAAAAAGGCAAATGCACTGGCCTGAACCAATGTATGTTTATTTATAAAATTGAGTAACAGCCCACAAAATTGTCTTGAAATACTTAGTGGAAATCTAGATCTTTCATCACAGAAATAAAGAAAAGCAGAAAAGGGAGATAAAATTGGCAGCATCCTCTGAAACTCAAGCTGAAAACCATGTTTCAGCTAAGAAAACACAGAATCCTCAACCAATGCCATGGCACACGAGAGCTTCTCCACATGCCAGACAAACCATTCTAGCACGATCCTAGTCCAAACTGGGATTGTGAGTATATTTGTATTTTCCTTACTTTTTAAGAGAAGACTAGCAGAATTTTTCTTGTAAATTTAGGGATGCATAATCACATGTTGTTTTACATAAACATG